GTGGTAGCGCCCAGGCTGTTAGAAAAGCAAACTGAAAACCCCTTTTTTCCAGTGGTACATGATCAGTGCTGTAACTGAAACCAGTTTGGGTTTTGGGGTGGTTTTTTTTCTGTTTTTTTAAAAGATGCAGTTTCTAGACAGCAGAAGTCAAGCTAGAAGTCAAAATAGGTATTCCTCAAGTAGTAGTAGTACCTTCTCTTGCCAGATGCAGCTGTACGAAGAAGCTGCAGTTACCCTTCTGAACCCAGGGTTTGTTTTTCCCTCAGACCACCTTTCCCTGCAATGTCCTGGCTGTCCATGACAGTTGCTGGTAAACCCAAAGGACCTTAGAAGCAGATACAGTGTAAACCCATGTGAGTGTGTAACTTGCAAGTGTGATAGCAGTGGTCTTTCAGCTCTTCACAACTTGCTCTATACACATCAGTCTTGTGGCAAGATACTGCTGCTCTCTAGAGATTTGGATGATCACATTTAAATAGTCATTCTCACCTTTCAGTGCTTCGTTAATGTAGCTCCGATAATAATGTGTTCGCCAAGTGTCATTGAACTCTGCGGCTCCCCTTTCAGAGATCCCATTTTCAGTCACATAAATGGGAGGGTTGTTGTACTCTTCCTTTATCCATCTCAGGAGCTTTCGGAAACCAAAGGGTGCCACCTTCAGCCAGAAGGAACCCGAGTTCAGCCAGGTGCGGTCTGTTACTGAAGCTACACCCCTGCAAGGAGGACATGCTGATCAAGGGGCCAGTCCCAAGTGCCTGCCACTGCGCCTGGCACCTCTTTGCTGCAGCGCTGAGAAACACACAGCTCTGTAGAACGCTGGACCAGAGGGGACACTGTGGCAAGCAGGTGAAAGCACAGCAGGTGAGGGTGGTGCTGGAGCTCCCAAGCCTCTAGACAACACTTTGATACATTGCTTTACAATTGTATTCTGCTTAAATCAACAATGGCTGAGGATGTGATGTTAGCTCCAGATCTTTGTAGTGTGTATAATGCAGTTTTTGAGCATACAAAATTGACATTTACAGCTACGTACAGGAATGCAAGACTGAGCCCAGTGTCCTACTATGGGCTAAACCACAGGAGCAGGGATGAAGCAGCAAAGGGAAGTTATAATTATTTCATTTATCCTCTATGGAAAGGTTTCAGAAAACAGCTTATGTTGTCCCACCATTACCTCAGTGCTCATGGGAAAAAGTAGTGAGCTCCTCTTGTTTACCTTTTTAATCTGGGGAAAGAAACTGGTACCTTAATAAATATCTTGACTTACATATATGAACACTTTAACTATGAAGTGACTTAGCCATTTAGGCTTTGAACTTACATTTATCTGCTGTGGTGAGGGAATTAACAACTGTTTAACAGCAAATGGAGCAGTATCAATAACCCAAGATAATCAAACTGCAGATTGGGGGCAGGAAATATGATAAATATGGTTCCCCTGTTTAAGTTTAAAGCCATTACCCCTTGTCCTACCACTGCAGTCCCTAATGAAGAGTCCCTCCCCAGCATCCCTGTAGGCCCCCTTCAGATACTGGAAGGCTGCTATGAGGTCTCCACGTAGCTGCTCCAGGCTGAACAGCCCCAACTTTCTCAGCCTGTCTTCATAAGAGAGGTGCTCCAGTCCTCTTATCATCCTCGTGGCCCTCCTCTGGACTTGCTCCAACAGCTCCATGTCCTTTTTATGTTGAGGACACCAGAACTGTACACAATACTCCAAGTGAGGCCTCACAAGAGCAGAGCAGAGGGGCAGGATCACCTCCTTCAACCTGCTGGTCACGCTTCTTTTGATGCAGCCCAGGATACAGTTGGTTTCTGGGCTGCAAGCGCACACCAAAGCTGGCTCATGTTCAGTTTCTCATCAACCAACACCCCCAAGTCCAAGTTCATATTTATCATCAGGTCTGTAAGATGGGCTGTTGCTGGCCTTTTGTGAAAATAACAATACCAGAAGTACTGTTTGGGGATGTTTTTGTTAGTATTGGTTAAAATACCTGTCTCACAGCATTATGTGCTAATTGTTTACACTGCTCAGTTGGCCCAGGCTCCAGGTGTGCATATTTTTCTTGACCAATAATTTCCATTCATCTCTTACCTGTCAGAGTCATATGAGAGAACACCAGTAGCATAGTTCATGTTGTATGTTAATACCGTAGTATAATGATTCAGGCCAAAGTAGTCATATGTGCCTTTAATTCTTTGCTTTTCACTTTCAGTAAATTCTGGAAGCCTGCAATAGAAAACAGAGAAAAGCATAAACCCCTCAAAATGGATGTCTTCCCCTTCTTTTGCTTCTACCCCTTCCCAGTGCTGTTTTATAAACTCAGCTTTTGCTAGACTATGCAGTTCATGCTGCCTGCTCTAGTGTTCTTCAGGAGAACAGACTTTTCTCTAACCAAAAAAG